GAATGATTGAAAGGCACTATTTCCGCGACCAACTGCTTAAAAGTTTCGATTTTGAATTTGGATTTTGCATACCAAAAAGCAGGAATACATGTGAACACATATATGACTTCCCACAGCTTTCAGAGGCACTTAGTAAGTTTTATGATTTAAAAAGAAGAGTCTGACTTTTGTGTAGGAAAACAGCTCATTCCGTATTTATTTTTCTCTATTTCCTTCAGCCTTCACGCAGGTTAAAAGCTGTTAGGAGTGGAAAAACGGTGCTTTTTGTTTTATCCTTCTTAGAAGGCACTCTTTCAGTTGATGAAATGATCTCACATCCCTATGAGACGCGATCTGATAGTTTCTATTTCGTAAACGACCGATTAGTGATGCACAACAAGGCCGATTACGCTTACGATGCAAAAAGTTGAGACCTAGTATTAAATAAGCTGCTTGTTTATGTAAATATGTGACAATAAAAGCGATGCAATTTCCTTCTTCCAAACACTATTGTTTATTTTAAAATAAACACCCGCTCAACATGATAAAATAACTTACATATCAAGTCCTGTTGCAAAGCGTCTGCTCAGATCTCCCAATAGAAATTTTTAAAGAAAGATGTAACTTTTACAACCAGTCTCCACCATGATGTGCAGCCATCCTCAATTTCTCAGGTATTTTTCATTCAAAAAAAAAGCAAGTCGAAAACAGCAAAAAAATAATGGGTGTCCTACCAGAATCTTTCATCCTCCACGTCCGAGAAGCAACAGGACTCCCCTATCCCAAAAGAAAAAGAAAAACTTCTGCGCATTTGCAACAAGTACTGAAATATCTGTGTCGTTTTATCGGTTTTATCGGGAAATTACATCGCAGTACCATGTTACTCTCCTTTAAAACTTTGGATAAAACAGGCCCTTACATTTACGGTGGCAAATCTAATTAAATTTAATAATGTCGCCATCTTAGTATCATTCAGTACGCAGAAGGGAAATTACATCGTTACACAAGTGAACAATCATCACAAAAAAGATAGATTAGAGAAGGAAATTTGCTTAAAATCTTAAATTACACTGCATTTCTCAGGCGAAACACTGCAGTTTCGACCAGAAGCTGCC